CTAACGATCTAGCGATGACCGCTGGCCAGGGTTTCGTGATCCATACGCACGGTTTGTCGAATTTCACCGGCCTCGTGGTACCATCGGGACAGAGATACTTGTAATCCTCCTTGTTGATCCCTTGATCCTAATTTCATGCATAATTCCGTTAGTACACCATTGTGCAATAATTATTGCATCGTGCTGCTCGAAATAATTAACACAAAGTTCCGAACTTTAGTGTTAAATGGAAAAAGTAAAATACTGAAGTCTTTATCTTGGATACCTCTACTAGCACAGAATGTGTTTGTAGAAGAATCACGTTTCTGGTTACATTGAAACAAACATGTGGATCCTGTGATTTAGTTTCGTTATTCGTGATTCCATAATTATCTCGAGCAGGCTAATTTGTCATTCAAATACTAATACTCTCATTACCTTGAAATGTTTTAGAGTATCACTTAATCTAACCCACGCAATGTCACCTGCGTTATCAGTAAGGCACAACAGGGCACCCTCGCGACCGTGATACTTATCACTCGAGTAACAACCGACAGGATTGTCGCACGCGGCACAAAGGTTTCTGTACTTCGACTCTGCAACCAAGAACATTGAAATGGAGCGATCTAATTATCTTGGACTTATTCGAACTGATCCTGTACCCACTTAATTTACTATCGTTCGTGGTGTCGGCGGACCAAGGGCCGGCGATACACGCTGCCTCAAAGAAATTCGACAAGCTTGTCATCCGGTTCTCCAGCAACGTCTTTTGCGGATCACATTCTTTCGTTATTATCCATTTCTCGAAATACTAGAAACGCAACAAGGAGGAATTGTTAACGTTCAAAGTGTAAGCGTAAGAATGTTATACAGTATGTCCGATTATATTTTCCAGATTGGCGAACAGAAAGTTAATGCATTAAACATTAACACAAACCTCTTTTCCTCTTGGAACAATTGATCTAGGTATGAGCATAGATAGTTTAACACTGAGAGTTAATCTAGCGAGGCTTGACAAATCCAACCGTATAATTTTCAATTTTACAATTCTCTACCTCAGAGTCAGACTTACCCAACTCCATTTTTTTTCTCAAATTTCATTATGTACACCTCACTTTCTTCACTTTATCAGAGCTGCTGTAAAATTACAATACAGGACTTGAGTCAGTCTAGCTCTCAGGTATAAAATTTTTCCTTTTATTACATTCGCTTGACGAGTATTTTATTGCTTTTTAAGATGTATAATGAAATGAACGGTTTGTTCTATCATTTACGTAATTTATTTACGTAAATACATTCAGATCCTACCGGAACGAATGATGGGAAAAAGATTCATCAGACTAACGTAATGTTTAAACACTTCGATGTGAGAATTTTCAGCAATTATTCTGTTCGCAGATGTAAATTTACACACGGGACATACTGTACGAAATGCGTAATCGTAAGAAAATTAACCGTGGAGAAAGCATTTGTCCAATCGTCAGTGGTATCCAGTCCAGGATGACAGAACCTCTTCCCTTTAACATCCCACACGTTCCCCACGTCTTTATGGACAATTACTACCATATCGTAGCGTTGCTTGTCTAACAAAAATGAGCCAACAAGAAGACAACATCAACACCTTGATATCAACTTGTCGCGTGCTGATTAAGTAATTCGGATTGTCGTTCGATTTACTTTCTAATTACCATCTCGGAATAATCTTAGCTCGTTCGTGACTAGAATTTTGTATTCGTTGTAAGCGGACGTCGCAACCAGATCTTCCGGTTCCAACACGGTAAAATCGGCTTTGCCCATGGCCAACTGCCTCAGGCAGTTGATCCTGTGTAATTCGATTTCTCGTTAAAAAAAAAAAACCCCAAGGTCAGGGAATATGCTACGGATCGATGCAACGTTCGTGAAAGTGGTATGAAAACTTTCTCGATTTTCCTGTGAATTTCATTATACTCACCTATCGTTTCCTATAACGCACATTCCCTGATCTGTTGTTTCCAATAGCGGGCAAAGTGTATGGATCCTTTTTGTCGTGTGAACACTCTCCACCGTACATAGTTTCACTGAAACGACGTCGTTCTTTTTCTCTTTTTCTTTTTTCCTCTCTTTCCTCGTTTCGTTGCGATCGTGCGAATGGAAATCGTGACTAATGCGTTATCAATGACGTGCAAATGAAACTCCAAACAAAAACATAATCTTGTTGAGCAAAGATGTAATTTCAACGATGTTATACTTTATATTGTATCTTTCGTTATCAAGATTCTGCGTTTTATTTATACAGCGATACGAATTCAAAGCGGTATGTAATCGTGAATTTTAAAATGTTACTCCTTTTTTCAGAAGTTCAATTTCTTCGATCGTGTTTCGAAAAAATTACTCACATTTTTGAGCGTTGATGCTGCGATGATAATACGCGACGAGGAAAAGCGAAACGAATAACAAACGTGCTCCCATCTTCGGCGAGCCTTCGGTCAGCATCTTCTTCGGAAAAAAAATCGTGAGTCTTCGATTTTTCACACTTATTCACGATATACTTTTACACTAATTATCGAGCATTTGATGTACACGACACTGTTCCATAATCTTACGTTTCACAGTATGAAAAGATTATTAATACACAAGAACGGGGAATACAATAACTTCATTATTCCAGGAATAATTACATCAATCACTTCGTTATAGTTGACGGAGGTAAAGGCTAGTTTGGTAAACATACGGATGCAATAAACCAACCCGTAATGGAACTGCAAAAGGTGCTACGCGTCGATCACGGTAAAACTTGATGAATAAACGGAAAGTTGCTAAATGTCCTTGGCTTGAGGCTTTTCTACGAAATGCTTAAAGACCAGGTTTCACCCACAGGTATAAATCAATCAAACTTTCCTGTTACATCTTCTCTTCAGTCGCTTAATTTTTCCTCGTTTCTCGCTTTCGTTCTTACTACCGCCAAAGACTCTCCGTTCATTTTTACAAAACATATTACATACATTTTATTCGTGATACTTGTTTGAAAAATAAGCTAATTTTAATAGATATCTGCCCATCAGTTCTGCTCGAAGTTCCATCAAGATCGGCGCGTAACACTTCGCGCGGTCCCCTCAACCGTTTCCCTCGTTTCCGATCCAAATCAGGGGGAATCATTAACGCGAACACCGAAACGAAGCCGCAGCAACGTTACTTCCAACGATTACGACGAGTAACAACCACGATTATTTTTAATTCACCAAACAGGACTCTTCTCCTTTCGTCAGCCTTCAAAGGTAAAAAATGATAAGTGGACACGCGGTGACATCATCGGGATGCTGCTCATGATCATCACCAGTTGAAAAGGACTAAAAGTTATCCGATATCTCTCTCGACGAAGAAGACACACGTACCTTCACCTTTCCGTGGAACACAGAATTCTCCTAAACAAAAATATATGGAAAGAGAAAAAAAAAAAAAGAAATATACGAAAGAACGAAGATGCTCGACTGGTTGAAAATAGAAAACAAAGGCGAGATAGTAGACAGCGTGCAGAAAAAGGTCAGCCGGCTCGGCCGCGTGGAGCGGCAGCGACTCGCCTCGACGGTCACACCGGGAGACGCAACAGGCGACGACGAAAATGACGGCGGGGATTTCTTCGCGTCCAACACGTCAACGTGTATATGCAGCTCCACGCAGACTGGATTAAATCAATGCTGGCTGCTGATGCGACCAAAAGTCCAGTAGGGAACTGGAATTACCGAGGCTGGTGGGGGTTCGTGCGTAATATACTCTGTTGGTACAGTGGACGATGTTAATGTTCTCGTATAATACGAGGAGACGATATTTAAACACACGGGGACTCGTGAACGCGGATTTTGTTGCAACGCAAACTAGGGGACTAGCAGTTGACGGAAGGTCGCCATCGTGATCGTTCATTATGAAACGATATCGTGTTCGACGAACACTTGGCGACAGGGTGGATTTATATCCTTGTGCGCGCGCGTACATTTTCGTGTGTTTATCCCAATGACGACATCTTCGTCGTCGTTCGCCGCACCGTCCTCGCGGCATTTCAATATAAAATAGAAGATTTTTTTTTTAACGTCGGAGCATTTGCTTCTTTTCTCTTTAAATCGTAGGTTAAAAGAATGGATCGAATGATCGTGGGAGCGCGCAATAATGTGAAGCTTCCGACTTTACTTGAAACTTGAAAGCCTTTGTCGATCGACCGATGAACTTTGAGCAGAAAGTAGAATATTCGTATCATCTACGCCTTGTGCATAAATTTTAAACTTACAACCTTCATATTATTCTTATCGTTTTGTCGATTAAAGAACGGAAAGCTTCTGGCAATATTTGCATGATTCTTATCTGAAATTCATGTAGCGTAAACAAAATATCGTTTTATTAAGCAACTAAACAATCAGAAGGTATTGTTGGAGGAAGTATCAGAAATGTAAGAAATGTTACATATAGGCACGTATATTTTATTTATGGAAGGTTTCAGTTATAAGAGTGAACGTTGTGTTATCAAATAATTCAGTATCTATTTCCATTTAACTATTTTACCGTATTGTAGCTTAGGATCGCTATCATGTACATAGCTCGTAAAGAATAACTCTCTTCCACGGTGTTAATTGAGAGATAACGCGAGAATCGAAGTCGCCCCCCTGCGAACTTTTCTTGCAACAACGATTTCTCTATGCATCTCTCCTCACGTAGAGGGATCTGAGTCATCCGACAATTGCTACTGAATTACTTTGTTAATGCCACAATTGTCAGGAATGATGATTGCAAGCGAATTATTGTCATCGTTATGCAGCATCGTTCCGTTTCAGGCAGACACGCTCGTCATTTTCTATCGTTGTTACTTTCCGCATCAAAACAGTTCCTATCTTACAACAAAAATATATAATTCGAGAGGCTGAAATATTCCACGTTTCTCAAAGAACATTCGAATTTTCGCCAAGCTCGAGGCAAAGTACTTAAATAGATCAAACAATTTTCAAGTTATTCGAAACAATTAATTTCAGTTTAAACAAAAGAAAATTTTGTACAATTTGTACTTATAACACGAAGGATTTGGATTATCTTATTTTCGTTACAGATATACGTATAACTAGGAATCGAATGAAAATTGCGCTTTTAAAAATACGGAACTGCAAATATTGTATACATCCGTTATTTGATAGAAATGGCTTTCTGCACGATAATTTTAATCAGCATTGATACGCTTGTAGCGTGTACTAACTATGTTATATTTTCAATTATCTCTCTAAACTAACAATGTAACTTTTTTACGACGCAGTATTTTTAGAACATTTAACCGGTTACACCTGATATCTGTGAAATATGTCAGATCTATTCTTGATAAAATTAAAAGGAAAATTTTCATCGTGTTATATATATATGTATATATAAGATAACTAGAAGCGAACGCTTTCACCAGATTTATTTTTACACAAATTACGTAAAGTCGCCAATACATGGAGTACAATATGCACAATCATGCATGCAATAATGCACCATACGATTTAATAATATTACCTGCAGACAAAAGAATTTTCCATTCAACTCTCTTCATGGTTACTGTAAAGTGAATTTAATCTTCCTTTTTTTTCAGGAATGAAAATTTTAAGATAGCTCCATGGTCAAATACTAGTTGCAGCCAGGTGCGACTTTTGTTTGTCATGTGTATGGCCTTGAGACACGCATAGAAACCAGCATATGCATCCGTATTGAGGGTAAAGGCATCTCAGAGTATTGCTACTATCAGTAGTACCAGTATAGCTGCATGCGAGGGAGGTGTATACTGAGCGTACGTAATTCGTTGCCAAAAAGTCAGTACCGTCGCTCGACACATGTCAGTATCTTACGTCCGTCAGATTGACAACCTTCAAGACATAAAAGAAAGCAGAATAATTGAGGAAACCAGCCGACACTTGTTCTATATGTTGCACTGATCTAATTTGACGCAGTAAAATAAGTGCTATCGAAATGAATAATCTTTTATCTTACTATAGAAAGAATAATCAGTGTTAATATTTTTTGGGTCATTCTACATTATTGTGTCTGATCATGGATATAAAGAGGTTATTTACTACGTCGTTGTTTGTCTAAAGTGTAGACATTGGCAATCGGAAATTATGACAAATCAGAATGTACGGTTAATTCGATACAGTGAACTTTCATGAATTTAAGATTTCGGAATGCATTAATTATAATGCCTGTTATAATATATGCTACATATTTTTAATCAATGATACTCTTGAACTGTATCTATATATGATATGATATCTCTCTTGTATTTATATTTCTACTTCAATTTGTTTGAATTTTGTATTGATATATTTTGATTTCAGGAAACAAAGTGGGATTTAACTTCAAACATTATTCCCTACTGTAAACTAAAATATTTAAGCTGATATTTTCCTAATATACTGATTACCTTAAAATTATAAAAAATGAAATTAAATTATACACAGTTGCCTATAAAGGCACATTACTTCTTTTTTATGGCAGGTACATATAATTAGATAAGTTAAAACATATGTTTTTAATAGTATAACAATCTCATACAATCTTTTATTACAGCAATGGGTCCAATTCTACCATTTTTACCAGTTTATGGCAAACAACTTGGAATTTCTGCAATAATCATGGGCAGCATTACAGCTATTTTGCCAATATTGTTCTTAATTGCAAAACCAACTTTTGGATTTCTTGTAGACTACTTCCATACATGGAGAAAATCAATTTTTATCATGTTGTTAGCAACAACAAGTTGTTGTTACATTTTTATGTACTTCTTACCGATACTTCCAGGTCCAATTTTACCAGACCATACTTTTACAAATGTGTCTTGTGACATTTTACCATATTGCTCATCAAAGGTAATTTATTATTTCAATCATAAAAAATATTTTAACTTTCTTTCTTTTTACAAGTATCAAATCATATTTTTTATTTTAGGATATTTCTAGTCCAGACTTATGTACGGGGATAAAAAATACAATGTGCCATTGGAGTTGTACAAATAAAAATTTTTCTATGTCAATACAATTTCAAGCAATTAACGAAAAAGTAAATTTTTCTTCAAATTCTACATGTATAATTGACAAGAATGCTACCTTATATTGTACTCATAGTAGTAATTGCAATGTTACCTGTGATAATTTTGAAAATAAGCATTGCCTATATACATCTGTAACCTTTTGGGGCTTTGTTTTCTTAATGTCTCTTGGCAATATTGGTTTTAATGTAGGCAATAGCATAAGTGATGCAATTTGTTTTGATATACTAGGTACTACATAATTATATCTTCTCCTTATTTTAATTTATTAAGAATGTGGATAAGTAGTAGTAATTTTTAGTTTACTGTTATTTATTTTTTATAGGTGATGGTGGTGAAATGGGATATGGTAGACAACGTGTTTGGGGAACTATTGGTTTTGGAATTTCTGCCTTTTTAACTGGTTATGCAATAGACTACTGGTCTAAAGGAGAAATTATAAAAATATATACACCAGCATTTTTACTGATTTTTATATTCACAATCATTGATTTATTTTGTTGTAAGAAATTGAATGTGAGTATGTTACATGTCATTTAGAAAGTGACAAATATTCACAATATTTATATTTTATTTATACAATGTATGAAAATATCTTTTGCAGCTGCCAAAAATGACAGGATCGACCGATATATTGAAAGATGTTATGAAACTTTTGAAATTAAAAGCTATAATTGTATTTCTCTGTTTTGCAACGATTGCTGGCATTCTTGATAGTTTTATGATTTATTTTTTATTTTGGTAAATTTCCACTTTAATAAACTAATAATATTTAGATAACTAAAATACTTTAAAAGATATAAAAAAATGGATTACAAAGTAATAGAAATTCACATAAGGATAATGTGCTTTAAACAGGTACTTAGAAGACCTTGCTATGGCAACTGGTTATATGAGAGAGATCAAACTAATTGAAGGTTTAATCGTTGCAGCAGAAACATTGGGCGGTGAAGTAATATTCTTTTCTTTATCTGGTATACTGCTTATTTGTCTTTATATACTTTCTACTTTCATATAATTTAGACATTTCACTCAATTGTGCCTTTTCTAAATAGGTAAAATCCTAAAAAAACTAGGATTTGGATATACTTTTACATTTTGTTTCGTATGCTATGCATTACGACTTGGTTTAATTTCTTTAGCATCAACTCCATGGTGGGTAATACCTATAGAATTATTCATGCAAGGACCTACTTATGCACTTTGTTATACGACAATAGTTGCCTATGCAAGCAAAGTTGCACCACCCGGTACGTCAGCTACTGTTCAAGGAATCGTAGCTGGCATGGACGATGGTTTTGGTAATTAATATTTATGATTCGATTATTATATTACATAGGTACAATATACTAGATAATAAACTTCATTTATTTGTGAAGCTAGGATTTAAATACTGATTTGAGAATTTCCTTATACGATTTAAAGTGATGCTCAATATCTTAATATTGTTTATTTTTTCAGGTTTTGCTATTGGTAGTCTAATAGGCGGGATTTTATATAAATTATTTGGAGGTGTAACAACATTACGAATATTTTCATCCATTGCCATTGTAACTGCGTTTCTATACTTCATTTTATACGTGTTATATTTAAAAGACAGGACGCCAGGTATAAGAAAAGTACTTCTTTGCGTTTCATATACATTCCTACTGTTCCACGTAGTATGATATAATTTCATTTATTACAGGTACAAAGAACAATGTAGACTGGAAAACGCCCGAAGAAGCACAAAAACAGTGTACCGTTGCGGACAGTTGACCCTGATAGGTTTTTCAATAGACGTTTATTCACAATGAACAATTACATATTTTACATGTAACTCTGCTTATATCGAGGCGACACTATATTACAGTACACCTGATAGCACACACCTTTTAATGTGTGGCAAATCTCTTCAGACCTCACAAAGATGTAAATCAAACAACCAATTTTCAATAGAAATGAAAATTATTGTTAATAATGTAATAAATTTTTTTGTACCAAATTATATTTTAAAAATAAAATCTGATATATTGTTTATGTGCGTAATTATTATCATGTCGTATCTTAATTAAGGGAAGAGGTGAATGGGAAAGTTTTTACACGTGACAGTTTGCGTAACGCTGAAGTTTAACAGCTGTTGTGTCTTCAGTCGCCACGTGATCGGCTTGACAAAAATGACAGATGTTTGGCGTTTGGACACATTGCCGTCTGATGTTCTAATCTTAATTTTCGATTACTGTCATGCCTTCGACTTGGTACGACTCAGTGAAGTATGCACACGATTCTACGATATTGTATGTGGAAAGATACTTTGGATCAAGAAGAGTAAGCAGCCGATCGCGACGAATCAAACTTCGAGAAAGTTTCGCGAAAGGTGTGTTAGGTTATGTGTGAATGTTTTTTATGTATATAATACACTACTTTTGGCATAATTTTTAATTCTCATCAATGACATGCCTTTATTTGCCTACTCCTATATGTTGCAAAGTTCCTAGTGTACATTAATTCAAGAGACATGAATTGTTTATCTTAATATATGTTTAAAATCTAAAAAGCTCCAGATAGTTCTGTTGTTCCATAATTGATTACAGTTAATTGCATCTATTGATTCTATTGTTGAGTGATATAAGATAACCAGCGAGAAAACATTGAAATTTATTACTTAAAACAGTGATAAATAATATATGTTTTATTTGATAAATAATTAAAACTATCAAAATGATAGTTATATTACATATAATGGAATATATTGAACTTGTGCATTCAAAGGGATTTCATTAAATATTAGATATTTTAATTTAATAGGTGCAATCCATTATTATGTTTGCGCACAAAGTGGCAAGTTTCACACAACTGGCAATATGGTAAATATGAAAAAAGAATTCTCTTTTCGCAAAACACAAAGCTCATACCACAAATTCAATTAACTGAAGATGTTTTGTGGTGGAGTGGTGGGAAACATTTCTATGGTCTTAGACGTACAGAACCATTTCAAGAAAATAACCGAATTTTTATTAATGATAATATTAGAAGTGATATATTCAAGTTTGTTGTCAAAAATGAGTGTATCATCACAGGACACAGGTACCTAGCTGTAGACTTATTACTAGAAACAGTTAAGCTAAGCTATATGCATTATAGCATGATATTTAAATTCATACAAATTCACAAATTTTTTACAGAGATGGAAGTATACAATTTTGGACGAAGTCAAGATGTGATGAAAATATAGATTTTTATTTTAGTATAGACAGAGCACATTCTAGTAATGTGAATGCATTAGATGAAACTTCTAAGGCAATTATATCTGGTTCTAGTGATGGAACTGTGAAGGTAGTACTTTGCATTTAAAATATTACTTCAACAAATAACAAGTAATAAACTTTTATAATGTTAGAAATTATTTACCTTTTTCAAAAATAACATTGAAACAATATTAATATCTAGATTTGGGGACCTATTGGACAAAGAATCTTAAATGTACCTTTAGCAACAATAAATATTTCAGAGTGCGTATGTTCTCTTTCGGCAGATCCAACAAGTACAAACATTGCTATAGGTTCTCGGGGAGATAGCGATAGGCTCCATCTTCATATATTTGATCTCGAGAAGTGAGCTATTATTTCATTGAAAGGATCTCAAGAGTATTTATGATATTCAACATAGAATTTATGTTGTATAATAATTTCAGTTATACTGATTCTGATATTCTAAGGCCCGATAAAAAAAGATGTGCGGGAATATTAGATATGGTTTGGGATAACCCACAAATTCTGCTTACCTGCGGATATGATAGTTATATCCGAAAGTGGGATTTGAGGTAAATTTTTCGCCGATGTTAAGGTATCAGTCAAGAATTTTCCATAGTTTTTCTACAAATAGCAAGTATTTTAAATTTACGAATGTTGGTTTAACGTTGTTGTCGTTAATTTTCACTCTGTTAACAAATTATTATTCTAGGACTGGAACGTGTGTATATTCGTGGCCAGATCCAACAGATGCAACTTTGTATTGTATATCTTCAGACTATCAATATACTATGATCACTGGAACCAAATTTAACTGTAAAGCTGTTCTTTGGGACCAAAGGCAGCAAAACTATGTACAAGTCAGTAGCGGAATATTTTTTACGAGATATTAATTTCTATAATACACTCATAGAATGTTTTTATTTTTTACAGCTCTATTTCATGAACCTTCGTAGAATGTTAAGTCCTGTTTATTCTGTGAGCTTTGATAGTACACATTTATATGGAGCAACAGATCAACATTTAGTGGAACTTAAATTCTCAGGATATTCATACAAGGAATCCAATTACAAAGAGATTCTTAAGTATGAATTAATAAGAACATATGGAAGTGGTTCAAACTGGATTGTGTAGCATCAAAAAATGGAGCTTTTAATTGTACAAAACAAGAAATACTATGTGACTGATGTAGACTGCGATAATTTATAGTTTTAAATATTGGAAAATTTAGTTGTAGATTAAAAATTACGTCACAATTGCAATAATTATTAACACTTTATTATGTTAACAAGTATCAATTACTGCGTACTTTCTTTTTTAAAAACGATCATTATAAAATGTAAGGAATTTGATTTAATACACGAAGATCATATGTTTTACTTATAAATTCGTAACAAATTGTACCGTGTAAGAAACTTTTCGTAATTCAACAAACTTCAAGGAAAAAATTTGTAATACGCAAAAATAAATATATTTATCCAAACTGATTTAATGCGTTTGTTCCTTCGTCCTTTTATGCTTTATAGCAAAGAAGCAATATTATATTTTATGTTCGTTATAATTAGCTCCTGTTACTATAAATAAGGATATGGATACATTCAGACATTATATGCTGTAAATCCAAACCCAAAATTAAATATTACATTAAGTAACTTCTTACGATTTTTCGTATTCTATCAATCCTTAAAACTATCAAACCATTGTTCTAATCATATAGTTTAGAATACCACCATGTTTAAAGTACGTTAAATCTACTTCAGTATCAAATCGTACAATCACTTCGAACTTTTTGCCATCATCCGTAGTAACGGTAATCTTTTCATGAGGCTGGCAATTTTCGGGAAGTACTATATCGTACAATTCATTACCGGTCAATCCCAGAGACTCCGCAGTTTGTCCAGGTAAGTATTGCAGTGGAATAATACCCATACCTACTAAATTTGACCTGGAAAATTACGGGATTGGTAATAAACTTTTATAAAGTACGAATCTTTCTCGAACGTATTACGTTTTAAAACTCCACAACCTTTTTGAAGATTAAAATATTTTCATTTGAAAACAAAATTTAATTTATTTATTAACAAAAATTTACCTATGTATTCTCTCATATGACTCGGCTATAACTGCTCGTATACCAAGGAGATACGGTCCCTTCGCAGCCCAATCTCTTGAGGATCCAGATCCATATTCTTTACCAACAAGAATAATTAAAGGCGTTTGATCTTTCGCGTATTTTTCAGCTGCGTCAAATACGTCCATCTGCGGAAAAACATTACATTTAGGGATAACATATGTGTGATTTTATATAATCTTAATTTCTTTATAAACCTCTTCTTTAGTGGGAATGTAAATAGTACGTGGTCCAGGTTTTCCAACAAACTTATTCAATAGACGAATATTAGCAAACGTGCCTCGTGCCATTACAGCATCGTTACCTCTACGTGAACCATAAGAATTGAATTCTTTTGGCGTTAATCTAAAAGGAAAAAATAAATTAAAGTGAATGCTCATAAGCATTTATGGTTTTTTTAATAATACTTTAAACGTACCCACGCCCCGACAGGTATCGTGCTGCTGGAGAATTGCGTGCGATGCTACCAGCTGGACTGATATGATCAGTCGTTACAGAATCACCAAGATTCAGAAGAACGCGTGCTTTCGTCACTGGTTGTATTTTTGGTAGTTCCTATTTATAATATAAATCATTGCAGAGTAACAAAAACTTATGAGAATAACAGTTAATATTTGCGTTTAATTTACCTTTTGCAAAATTTCGAAATACGGTGGACTTTTTATGTAGGTAGAAGCTGAATCCCATGGATACAATTTACCATCAGGAGCCATCAAGCTTGCCCAGCTAGAGCTGCCCTTTTCAATCTTGCTGTAAACTTCTTTAAACATAGCTGGAATTACATATTTCTGTTCCACGGCTTGAATTTCTGCTCTAGTAGGCCAAATGTCTTGAAGAAATATTGGTGTACCATCCGCTCGACGACCTAAGCATGTTCAATATTATCACAAACTTCTGAAAAATTTATAAAATATGTACATGAAATTAAATCATCCATTTACCAAGCGGTTCCTTCTCCAAATCTAAGTCCACTGTTCCAGCAATGGCGTAAGCGATTACTAAGAGTGGGGATGCTAAATAATTTGCTCGCGTGTTCGGGTGAATTCTTCCTTCGAAGTTTCGATTACCGGACAACACGCCACAACACACGAGTTCATTCTGATTAAATAAAACAAACATAATAATTAAAATTAATAGAAAATATTCTTTTTAATAATTACTATGAAGTAAACAATTCATGTTGTTACCTTTTCAATAGTCTCTACTATAACATTTGGAAGAGGACCACTGTTGCCGATACAAGTCATGCATCCATAACCAACGATATAAAATCCTAATTTCGTCAAATAAGGAACCACTCCACTTTCTTCTAAATAATAAGTAACAACTCCAGATCCCGGGGACAATGAGGTTTTAACATAAGGCGCAACAGTTAAACCAGCTTCAACGGCTTTTTTTGCAAGCAGACCTGAAATTATTATACTATTGTCATAAAAATGTTGAATGTTCAAATAGAAAGTTCTCATAATTAAAATGCACGTCTATGCTAATTGCAGATCAATATATTGGACCATTTTCAGAACTCGTTTACAAAATATTTCCACGTGTAATAAATGCAAACGGGGTTTTTAGTTACCTGCTCCAAGCATTACGCTGGGATTACTAGTGTTGGTACAGCTAGTAATTGCGGCAATGACCACCGAACCGTGCCTTAATTTGTAATCCTTGCCTTCATATTCGAACATACCTACGGCGTCTACCTTTTCTGGGGATAAACCGTATCCCTTGAATCCTACCTGGAAACAAAAACCGTTTATTAGTGACGCAGCCCTTTCATATATTGCAAGAACAGATTCCAGTTTATTATTAGCAACTGAAACACAAAATTTTAATGCACAATTATCACCCATTTATAAAATGAATAATTCAAGTAAATTTTATTTACAAAATATCCATATAAAAATTTCTAGAAAAACAAACAGCATTTTTTTCCGCATGTTATATTAAAATCTAAATTCCTTCATATGAGCAGCACGCGAAAATTTGATGACCCAAGAAAATGAATGACCCTATTGCATCTAGAATTCATTGTCCGACGAATGATTCGCTGAAGAAGCATTCTTGTACGGTAAAGCGGTGATTCCCCCGTTTGTTTCAACATTCAGTATCCAATGTACGAAACTTTTCTTTTGCTCTGTTCCTATATAATTTGCCACCGTGTACATTCGATACATTTTCAAGTTTATCACCTACATTGACGATACCTCCGTAGTAAGCATGTAATAAAATTCCATAAGCTTGTAGAATAACACGCGGGGTGACCAATAATGGTGTATCCCTTTTAAACAGACAACTATTTGAATTCTCTTTCAACGTTGCTCATTTGACGAGGCTATTACGGTCATTGTAATTAGTTCCTAGAAGGTATACGTATCGAAGTCAGTGCCTAAATTGCCCTGAGGATCCCTTAGCCTGCATTCAATATACACTGTCTAGAACAATTAGACCGTCGACGTCATTGTTTGGGCCTTTCCTCGTGACCAGGGTTTGCTTTCACAAAATTCTATACCGTCGAAACAGTTATTTCTCCATTCTTTTGATTTCAAGGAAATAGGTGTAATTTAAAGGAGCTCCTCCAGTGAAAGGTATTTTACCGCAATGGATATTTTAGCCGTTGGTGAAAAATTCATCGTAACCTCTGGAATATTTACCTGGACAAATGGCAATGATATGAAAAAAAAAAGAAAAAAAGATTTAACAGAAATGATATCCATGGAGAACAAGACCGATCGTTTGCAATATGAGGCACGGCGAATATCTGTACGTAAGACAGTGGTATGCAATAAAATGCGTGAGCTTTGCAGAATGAATGGATGTTGTATCAGCAATTTCAGCGAGGTTGCACGACGTTCGTGGCCTCATCGAAGGCAGTCGCTCGTGCTCTCCGCGAAATTCAAGATCGATCGATCGCCGGTACGTATAAAATAATTTTTCAATCGAGAGATCAATTGAAGTTGCGATCTTGTCATCAACAGCTTACGACACTTGCACATTACATTTCTTCAGTTACAAACATACTTTGATTCACTTTTCTTTTTTAAATTACTCGTATAAAATAGTACTTGTAAAATTGTGTTTCGATACTTTTTGTTGTATCGATAATGTACGACGAGTCACTTATAATTATAATTTTTCATTTACATCGAGAAGAAATCTCATGTTCATTTTTTCATAGCTATTTAAAAATACGCTTTTCTTTCTCTTATAATTCTAATTACACGTACATAGATATAAACGCAGTGGTTCCATCATCGCAGAATGAAAAAGTCGACGACAAAAGGGCGTTGAATTTCATGGCACGGAGGAACAGTCAGCTTTCTATGATTCACGTGGATGAGTTTTCAGCAAATGTCCTTGCTGTGATAGCATAGTAACGCGATTCCGATGTTGAACATCTTTCAATAGAAATCGATCGGTCCCTTGTTTTTAAAACCACGCACGCTCGTTGTTGCTTCATCACGTTCGCACGATTATCGTTATATCGCTTTTAACCAATATTTCTAACTAACTTTATGGCCGCTGCCTCGCCATTAAAATATTCCACTGTTAAACATACAATATGTCTGATTCAAATGTATACACGCAGTTCATTTTCAGATTGTCAAAATTCTAAGAAAATTGCCTCGTATAAATATTACTCGATTTTGGAAGAGATAATAAAATATTTAATTTTTTTTTTAAGAAAACTATCTCGTCGATAGTTAACTATACAAACATTTCGAGTTATATTTATGTTCAACTAAATATTAACTATAAGTTAAAAACGTCGATTGCATTTGAAAACCTGAATTTGAATTGAGTTCAAAATTCTACGCATACTTCTTTTTTTTTTATTTAAAAAACAATTTAGCTAAATTCCGGTACAAATAAAACGCTCGAGCGTCCTTTGCTTTACGAGAGATACAGCGAACCCATGATAATTCCATGAGCAATTTGTTTTGGCTGATGGTTCCCGATATCCCTGGAAACAATACATGATTTCATCCTAGTCGTATACGGGGCAACAACAAGGGTGCGTGTGCACAGTGAGGTAACAGAAAATCCTCGTCTACCTGACATGTCAGGAAAGGTATAGGAAGTTCATGGAACGTTCACCAGGTTAGCGTGGACGGTTTGCTCCGTTTGGCCAAGGGGTGGGGACGCTTCGTACATATATAAGAATGGGATGACAAGCGCGGAAGGTCATTAGTGTACAATTAACAGTGCGTAGTCAATCGTCGTGATTGAAGTTAGACAGTGGTTCTTACAATTTTGCACTAGTATAACAAGTTTTGCATTTCAGTATAACGAAATCTTGTCTTTGTTGAAGTTTTTGCTGTTGTGAAAGTTGAAATTATTTTTCTTTTCCTTTTGTGAAGAGATTTTTTTTTGATATTCTAGTGATTTAGACTGAACAATCCCATGAATTATCGTCTAATATTGGAGGCTGCTGTCGGATGAAATCTCGTCCGGTGTGGTTGAAATAGAAGCCTCACCGGGTAGGATTCATCCAATGTCCGCCTCTGTTCTTCATTACTCATCGAAAGGAGCTCTTGAGAGAAGATTACTGATCACTTGTTATTAGGGGCGAAGTATTCGTCTAGTGTAACGTTGCAAAGAAGTCGTGACTAGATCGAAATACTCGTCCCAGATAACAAGATTTATCAACAATTGAAGAGAACATGCTCGTCCAGCTACAACATCTCTACGGAATCGTCCCGTTTATTTTTCTTTGGTGATCTAACTGTATGGTGAATCAAAAGACCATAAAGCTAGATCAGCAAGGCAAAATGTACGAGACATAGCCTCGTGTGGCTGGCCATCGTGACGCTTTGAACGTGTACAAGGTAACCAAATCTTATTTAAAGCCTCACTTTGTATGCACACTTCAGATAATCGTTTCTAGACGGAAGAATCCGGAGGAACTCTTGCTGTGATGTGTTGCTGTAAGAGATTCATATCACAGCAGTAGTTACCTGGGATTCTTTCATCTTTCTTCACCTTCACTGGGCAACTGCAGTAAGCACACATTACGCTTTGGGGCAACACACAGAACAGAGCACTTGGCATATACAAGTATAGCATGGGATGAACGTGATCCTGTTGGACGGTAATGATTGATCGTCACTGGGTTATGTTTGTCCCATTCGAGTACTGATTGATCATCGTCATTGCATGTCACTACGCAATCATCAAACTCTCTACACGATGGATGTTCGTACATTGGTGCCTATAGTATCCTATGTTAAGAGTGTTGTGATAACTTGAAGAAATTCCTACCTTGCTGGTAAGACACTTCCTGAAGTCCGTCTTCATATCCACAACGGAAACACGGTCGTGAGGCCTCTTAGGGCCACTAACGCTGGACACTACAGTTCCCAAATCCAAGGTGACTACTTCTGAGAAGATTGGATCTTGTTTTGGGTCATCATAATTCCTCAACATGCGTACACTGGTGAGATAGTTCTCGATTCTGCTGATATGTTCCTCAGATCGTCCTAGAAAAGATAGTTTCATAAGTACATTGAATGTGGTAATATCGCATATGTCGTTTTCAAACTGTAATGCACATACCTGTTTGCCTTAAGTATGTTAAACTCTGTTGATCAACGGGGAAGAATCCAACTGTAGCACCGTACTCTGGACACATATTCGAAATTGTCGCGCGGTCTGCGATGCTCAATTCGGATACACCTGAACCGAAGAATTCTACAAACTTTCCGACAACTCCAACTTGACGAAGATTCTGCAAGTACATAAGAATAATGGTGAAATAATTTGTGGTAGTTGCTTTTATACAATGTTTTTTTAGAACTTTAGAAAATTTATTCCACCTTTGTAATAGTAAGGACAAGATCTGTTGAAGTTGCATATTGATTCAAAACTCCCTCTAATCTGTATCCTACAACTTTTGGTAGTAACATAGAAATTGCTTGTCCTAACATAACAGCTTCAGCTTCAATTCCTCCAACACCCCATCCAAGTACACCAAGACCATTGATCATAGTTGTATGGGAATCAGTTCCTACTACACTATCAGGATAAAGCAAACCATTGGTGTCGAAAACAACTCTTGCTAAGTACTCTAAATTCACTTGATGCACTATTCCGCTTCCTGGAGGTACAATCAGCATATTTTGAAACGCTTTAGCGCCCCATTTTAAAAACATAAATCTTTCCTTATTCCTTTCAAATTCAATTTCTTCATTTTTTTTCAAGGCGTCGTTACTAGAAAACATGGTATTCTTATCAGAGCTGTGTTATCTTTATTGCTTAATACTAAATTGTTATCATTGTTCTAAATATTCACATATCATTCATTTTAATTCCAAATAAAATAAAAATCATTTTAGACTTAAGCCCTGTTACATAATTGATATTACAGTGGAATCTAGAATTATCTTTGTAATGTGATAAATACCTTATCCTTCTACTTTAAAATTAAATAAGATGTAGTACAAGTAATAATTTACCTCCTAATAAAATCAACTTGTATTGAATGATCAATAACAAGATCTGATGGACAAATAGGGTTTATCTTATCTGGATCAGATCCCAGCCTCTTGACAGCATCTCTCATAGCTGCAAAATCCACAACAGCTGGTACTCCAGTGAAGTCCTATTTTGAATGAAATTTAAATCTAGAAAAACTTAAAAAAATTGTTTAAGTAAAAATACTTACCTGTAATATTACCCTAGCTGGTTTAAAGGATACTTCTGCTCCATCTGGAAGAGCCTGGTTATTTTCCCAGTCTAAAATTTTTTCAACATCAGATTGTTTCACTTGGAAATTATCACAATTCCTAACTGCACTCTCCAAAAGCACTCTAA